GAAGGGTTTTTGCGGTAAAATTTTTCCCAGCCAAACCAAAACCTTTTGAAGGGTTTTGCGCTGAAATTTTTCCAAGTTTTTCCCAGCCAATCTAAAACCTATTAAAATTATTTTTTAAAATTAATTTTCCACCAGCGGACTCGAACCACCAACCTTCAGCCTGTAGTCGGACGCCTTATCCATTCGCCCGCTCGCGAGTGTTAATAGCTTTGAATTAAAATTAAATATATGTCGGCTGGTTTCCTCCTCTCTTCAACCAGCTTCAACGGGAAAAATTAGTATTGATTGAATCGCCCCCCCCCCCAAATACCCACTAGGTAAAAATAGAAAGAGAAAATAAAGAGTTATATGATAAAAGTAAGAGAGACAGCACTGACTCAACCCGGTTGAGTCAGTGCATGTTCTCTAACCCCGCTCCTCCCAGTGGGAAAATTTATTATTGATCTAATTCCCCGGTAAATGCTCACTAGGAGAAAATAGAAAAAGAAATAAAGGAGAGAGAAGGTTATAATGAGAGAGACAGCACTGACTCAAAAGGTTTGAGTCAGTGCGGGAGAATGTTCTCTAACCCAGCCGTCTGGGTTAGAGAAAAGAGAAATAGTGTGGCAACTGGATGGCTGTCACAAACTACAGCCACCCAGCTGCGGGGAAAGAGAGTGAGTGTACTCTCTTGGGAAAGTACACTCTCTCTCATCGAGCAACACATTTGGTCGCTTAACCTATAAAACCACAGTTGGCCAGCTACCCTAAAAACAAAATATGGCCAACTACCTACAAAAACCCCATTGGGCCAACTACCCTAAAAACCACATTTGGCCAAATACCCTAAAAACCACACTTGGCCAACTACCCTAAAACCACATTTGGCCAACTACCCTAAAAACCATATGGGCAGGCTACTACAGTTACCATCATTTATCTTTGATTATTATTTTTGGGCCCGTGTAGAAACAAGGGGAAAATTTTGAACAATATCCGCAGCCTCACTATTAGTTAAATAGCCGCGGTTACGCAAATATCTTATTGTTGAAACCCAACAAAGGATTAGGATGGGCAATAAAAGTGAATATAGTACTAGAATAATGGAAAATCCCGTACTTATTGTTTGGCCCTGTTTTCCCTCCAAATATTCTCTATCAAGAGATAAAAAATCGTAAGGAACGTCGTTTGTATTATTCATTGTTATTAAAAAAGTTGGACAACTGTTATGTATTAACCTAGTGTTGAGTCAGAAACAATATGTCTGTGTTGTGTATGGGCGTCAGCCCTTAAAGTGTTTAGTATAAAAGCCCAGCCAATAGTTAGTTCTCGGTCTCAGTTTTAGTTCTTCTTCCTACCCCAACCTTCGCCTGCTTTGTATTTCTTTGTGCAATAAACGTTTCTGTTAGCTTCCTCTACGTAACCGGGGTCGTAACAGATTTGGCGCGGTCTCCTGTAAAAGAACCTGGTCTCGACAACTTCAGTGAGTGCTCGTCAACGTAAGCTGTGTGCAGTTCAGAAAAAGAAAAATCTGTGTGGACAATTGTAGTGTAGTAAAACCAAAAAGGTTAGTGAAATTGTAGTGTAAAGTGTAGTGATAAAAAGTTTATTTTTTAGTGAGTGCAAAATGGATGCAAAAACAGTGGAGAAATTGTTGAAGGCTCAGCAAGAGCACTTTGAGAAAATGTTAGTGAGGCTCTTGAAGCCGAGTGAGTGGAACGACACCGAATTGTACAGCAAATTAGTTGGGATGATTGGTGAGTTCGTTTTTGATTTGACGAGTGGTATGACCTTTGAGTCATGGTTGGGCAGGCATCGGTCCTATTTTGAGGTGGAGGGTAAAACCCTGCTAGAATCCTCTAAAGTGAGATTGTTGTTGAGTAAATTGGGGCCAGAAGAGTATGCCCAAATTGAAAGGAAGATGCTGCCAACCAAGTTGAGTGAGATGAAGTTTGACGAACTGTGTAGTGAGTTAGTGAAAGAGTTTAGCGACCATAGGTCCAAATTGTTAAAAAGGTTCGAGGCCTTAAATGTTAAGTGTAGTGACCTTCAAGATATTGTTGAGTTTGGGAATGTAGTGAATGCTCAATGTGAGCGTGCGGAAATGGCCTTGTCGATTGAAGAATTGAAAATTCTTATTTTTATTTCAGGTTTGCCTAGTGATGCTACCTCAGTTCGACAAGTCGCAATGAAAAGTGTTGAAAGTAAAAGTGAAAGAGGACAGGCAGTAACCTTGAAAGAAATTATTGAAGAGTGTCGGGCATATTTGGCAAATAAAAGTGAAGCCATGTATATTGTCAAGGAGAAAATTAGTGAAGTAAAAAAAGAAGTGCCGACAGTCAACACAGTGGAAAAAGTAAAATGTTGTGAAAAGAGTAAAAGTGAAATTGGAAGTGAGTGCAAAAAACAGTGGTCCAAACCAAACGTCAAGTATCAGCAAAATGTTATTGAGAAAAAGTGTAGTCATTGTGGACGTTTTGGTCACTGGTGTATGCATTGTAAGTTCTTGAAAAATAATCAGTATCAGCCAAAAAGGCAGTGGAGTAATGATAATAATCATTCAGGTTCTCCATATTGTCCAATTCTGGACATCTTCGATCCAATGCAAAGTGTGGAAAAAGAAGAGTGGATAAAGCAAAAAGTGAAGTTTGGAGAACTTAGTGTAGAAATGATTGTAGACACTGCATCGCAGATCAATGTTGTCACCAGTGAAGTGTGGAAAAGTATTGGACAGCCAACAATTGAAAAAGTGAATTACAGTGGTATTGGGCTGGGTGACAACAAAGTTGAAATTGAAGGAAAATTCAGAAGCAAAGTGAGAGTGAAAGACAAAGACGTCTTTATGGAGTTTCATCTAGTGAATAGTGAAGTGTGTATCTTAGGGTTGCCTGGATTGAAAGAAGTGTCAAGTCGGAACCAAAAGCCCAAGTACCAAAAGTGGAATAAAAAGAAGGCACCATTCAAGATACAAAAAAATGCTTTTCCGAACGGCACAAAAGTGAAAGTGAAGAATACCAATAAAAGAAGTGGTAAAATCGAGTGGCTTCATGGAGAAGTAGTGAGAAAGACGGAAAATGCATGGAAAATCAAAGTGTCAGAGTTGAAGAGTATTGTGACCCGGACATTTAAAGAGATCCGTCGAGATGAGTGGAACAATAAAAAGAAATTGTTGAGTGAAGATATTCGGAATATGAATATTAGTGAAGAAAAAGTGTCCAGTGAAAGCAGTGTAACTTCATCGAGTGATAGCAGTGTGGACAACTCCAAGAGGATCAAGTCAAAGATGAAGGACAAAAGCGGGAACAATCCAAATATGAAAGATGTTGAAGACGATAATAATATGGAGACATAGATGAGCCACATATATAAAATTTTGTGATAATATTGTTGTTATTTATTTTTTTTTGTAATGTTGTATGTATTTTTTGTTCCCATTGTCCTTATTCCCCCAAAATTATTGTATGTATTTTTTGTTTGTTGTTTGGCTGGAAAGTGTTAGTATATTGTAAAGCTTCGGCTTTAAGTGAAGCCGAACCTTTTTTTAAGGGGGGAGGTGTTGTGTATGGGCGTCAGCCCTTAAAGTGTTTAGTATAAAAGCCCAGCCAATAGTTAGTTCTCGGTCTCAGTTTTAGTTCTTCTTCCTACCCCAACCTTCGCCTGCTTTGTATTTCTTTGTGCAATAAACGTTTCTGTTAGCTTCCTCTACGTAACCGGGGTCGTAACAGTCTGTTATAATCAATCATTAGCAATTGATCAAACTCGCCCATAATTATCATTTCAACACCCCCTGCTGGAATTGGAGAATTAAATTCTAGACGAACACTAGTTGTTCCACTACGTAGCAGCTCAAAACCACAAGAATCATCTAAAGTAGATGTTAGGGGAATAACAAAGAAACTCCAGCCCGATTTAAATTGGGCCATTGAAATGTCAAAGGATCTATCAGAATTGGCCATCCCCAATGCTTCATACATGTCAACATATGCCCTTACGAAAATATCATCGTCAAATTTAAGCTTATAGGAAACCATTGGATAGATATGGCCGCCAGTATGAACTGAAATATCTCTCAAATTGAAAGGTTTAAAATTAAATGGTGAAAGACTAATGTCCCCGTTAAATGCTCCATTTGCAACAAGTGCAACTGTAATTCTTCTAGGAATGGTTGAACTAAATGCATTGTATTCAATCTCGGTTTTCCCGGGACTTAGGAACGTTGATTTTAGCTCAGTTCTTCTCATTGCATAAGTAGCCGGTTTTGATTCAAGAGTTTTGTAAATGCTCATGTTAAGGGAGGGTTGGACCTCAATCATTTTTGCTAGCAATTTAACATCGTGGACAAAAATTCTATACTGATTTTCGTCAGCAGGAGTTAACTTTTGTAAAGCAAAAGCATTTTGGAGCGATAGATGCTAAAGTGAATATCGAGATTGTTGAGTAAAAATAATTCCTGATTTCCCAAATCAAAATCTAAGCGAGAAAGGAACTGGGCCCGCTTTCCTTCTTTAAAAATCGAGCAACGTTCTAGAAAACCATGATCAGTAATATCATCATGTTTAGTGCTCAACCGATAGCCAATGGAAGAAAGAAAATTTGTTTTTACATTCTCAGGAAATGAGAGTTCATTTGTTAAATAAGATTTATAAGGATAAAGTGTTCCGCTATCATAAACCTCTGTATTACCTACTGTAACTTTAAGTTGTTGAACAAATGTTTGCCCAATTCCTTGGATTGACGCAATACCAGTATCCGTTGCCAAAATATGTGTCCATTTTCCTCCTGCTTCCTGTTTTTCAATAGAAAGCTCAAGATGAAGATATGTACGACTCAAGTCTGTCCAGAGATTATCGCTAAACAAGCGAAATAAATATGGGGAGTCTTGTGTTATTGTACTAAGTGGAAGAATTTCACGAAAGAAGGAACGAATAACAGAAACATTTGTGGGAGGAACGAAAAAAATGCTTAAAGCACTGTTAAGAGCTAGAGGGCTGTTCTCATTAATCTTCTTGGAACAACTCATTTTAATATGGTCCTAATGCGTCTATGCGTAAACGTTTCTTTGGACGAGATATTTTCCTTTTTGTAAAAGTAGGAATAAAATTTGGTGGGCCAATCTTGGAATAACAAGTCTTATTTATATTTTCGCTATTCATCTGTCCAATTGTTTTGGGGCGTCTTTCCTTTTGTCTTTTGAATTCAAAACCATTTCCTTTTTGCTTCTCAATATTATTGGCTGCTTTTTCTAACAAATTCTTCAGTCCTGATTTACCCTCCAGGCGAATGCCTTCCACTTGTTCAAATTCATCCAAATAGCATTGTTTTTGCTCCATTGTCTCACATCCTTGCGGCCAGCCGCTTGCTTGTTGCTTAAGCCCCACAAAAGTGTTGACGTATCCTTTGAACAAATCTGAGTCCCAGCGTTCATAGTGCCAAACCTATTTTTTCATTAATTGGAAAAAATTTGTAAATAACCTCATGGACGTCCACTACTTTGTACCCCAGCTCCAATGCTTTGTTCAATTCCACATGGGTATAACCAGTCACCCATGAACGTTGCTTTTCAGAATGATGGCATTGATGTTGCTGCCTATCATCAGCACACGCAGCACATAGAGGGAACGTTAAACGTCCGTCATGCGTGCGATAGCCGAGTAAAGGTGGAAGTCCTCGTATAGATGTTGGCGGAAGCACTCTAACCAGCAAAAGCCCTTTGTAAGCATTGCTGCTAGGCCGAGTCCAAGGCAATGTGTTCACTAGTGTTTCTCTTGTCAGAACTGTTGGATGGCCAATCGGAAACTCGCGGGCCTTCATCACGTATGGGTAGAGACTCACATATAATGATAAAATAAAATTGTATGGTTAAAGAAAAATTACAATGTCAATGTAGAGAATTTCCTCGTCATTCCCACAGACGTGATGGAGCTTGAAAGGCTCAGTTCTGCCACCTCTCAAGCAGTCTTCCCTCGTATCCATCGGCTTCACATATTCAATCTCCCACCATTGCCGCTTCAGCTCGCGATTTCCATTCAACCTTTCCTTCATCTCATGGCCCCAGACTACATGAAGAGCGTAGCCGTGCTGATATTCTAGCTCCCATAGACGTTGTTGTGTCCTTTCATACAGCTCTTCAGCAGTTTTTCCAGCGGCTAGGCGTTGACTACGAACAGGGAAGCAAATTGGACAGCCTAAATTTGATAGTAGGTGAGTAGCAAAAGAATAATAAAATTACCATGGTAATAGCATCCCATATATTCAATGGCTAATGGCCTAAGCGGTGGTGACCTGTACCAAAGTCCATCAAGGCGATAACCGCTATCCTCCACATGAGCCTCACCAATTGCCCACTGTGCACACTGGACTTTCCCTGCTGCCTCTGGGTTTTCCTTCTCAAACAGCTTGATGTAACGCTGCGACTCGGCTGATGCTCTCCTCCCACGCAAGTATCCGCCTTCTAGTGAATGAACAAGCCAGTTCTCAGGTAGGAAACATCGACGTAATGTTGTTAGAGCTAGTCCTGCCGCTGTTGAAGCAGAGACGAACGGGTTAAGCTTCTGAGTGTGTTCTCCGATTAGATGTCTAAACCGGAGCACACTCTCACGAAGAATGGCCACGTCGTTTACACAATAGGCGATTAGTTGTTCACGGAGCTGGAAGTGACTAGTTGGGTTGTTCATTTGTTGTTGATGCCATTCCAGTAGCTTTGCTCTCTTCTCGGCCTTCTTGTAGTCCGGCTGGTAGTATTCCAATGGAGGGACACCTCTTATTCTCTCGTGTAGATGTTGTCGTTTCACGTAGAGATAAGGAAAGTATGGCTTGGTCGTAGCCACATCCTCTGGCAGTGAAAATACTTTGGTGAGGGCGTCAAGTTCACAGAAGAAGTAGTTGAGCGAGTCCTTGAAAAGGACCTTCCTTTGATGACTACCACCCAAACGCATTGAATAGATTTTAAGCCCAGTAGTGCATAGTCGTTTTGGAGGTATGCTGCGATGGTGAAGAGCCTCCAGCAAAAGATGAAAATCATACTTACCACCGTTATGGGCGATGCAGACTGTGAGAACATTTTTTGGACCATGCTGCTGCAAATAATCGAGAAACTGGTCCACGGGGCTTTGCTGGTTGTTGTCGAAAGAATGGAAGTACATACGACGAGGATTATAGAAAATGTTGGCAGGTGCTGGTGTGTTGTCTCCATTCGAATTCTTGAAAGGAGGCGAGCACCATCGACGCCATTGATCATTACACGGCTTTCCACAAAAGCAGCCTTCCGCTCGTTGTCCAATATTTTCAACTCCAATACCAGCAATTATGCACTTCTCGCAGATGACCTGAAAAACGTAAGATATTTTTTATTGAGAGAGATTACCTCCGCAATTATTAGTAAAGGCACATGTTTGAATCCCTGGATGTTGTTGCTAATATGCATCGGCTCATCTTGACTTGTTTCGGCGTCGAAAAAGCACAGGCGTAATGGAGTTCGCTTCCCATTATCTTCTTCATCGCCTACATCCTTGATTGGCTGGATGTAACACGGTTGTTCTTGATCATGGGGCCATTTTGTTTGCTTACATAACGCATGTTGAGTTGTGCTTGTAACTTGTTGCTGTTGTTGCTGGCATTGTCCGCCTGGCTGGCATTCTCTTTGGTGTTTCTGTTCTTGATCGGCATAAATTATGTGGTTGCAACGGTCGCAAATTCTTCTCATTTGGCAGTATAGTGGTAGTGGTTGTTTTGCAAGAGAAGGCAAATGTTAAAACGAGCAGCTTTTCCTTCTCCTTTGTAGACAAGTCGATACTGCTGTTCCTTTTTAAATACTACTAGACGAACATATCCCACGCCACCCAGATGATGATTCAACGATTGCTGCAGAGTTTCCACGTGATCCAGCGAGTATTCCTGTAGATCGAGTGGAATACCTGCCTTTCTTAGCATTTGATGTGCAGGTCCTGTGTGTTGTTCTTGCGGTTGTTTGCAAAAGGCCTTGAATTGTTCTGCTCCTTCCCCTCTTTCCATCATCCAAATTTTAGTTATCCCAACAAATACTGCACGTGCGAGACATAGCCGATCGTTTGGGTTGATAACGCGGAAGATCGACCTACATATTGCGGTGACGGCATGTTCTTGGTCGTTGTCACATCCACCTTGAGTAACAGGAATATGTTACAAAATAAATGTAAATTAAAACTGTTACTCACCGCTATGGTCAGATGGATTAGCTGTCCGCTGAGCTCCCAATGGCCAAACAGCAACCACTTTTGTTGTTGTTGTTCCGCTAAGAAGATCAATCCCGGCTTGGGAGATCTCATTCAACCGTTCGATTGCTGCTGCTAGCGCTGATGGATTGTTCTGAGCCAATGGGCGTAGAGGGAGCGTAAATGGATGGTGGAAGTTTGGTGGATGCACTTGAAGGCCTACAAGCAACGGCTCTGGGCGCCCCGCCAATACCCGGTCCATAAGCTGCGAAACAACGTCGGACATGACTACATTAGGATCATTATTAATTTATTGATTGATTTTGCCCCGCCCCTAAAGGAACGTGCGGGGAAAATAGAAGTGTGATGACTCATCCCAAACCTTTTGTCACTGTCTAAAATTCCACACGACAAAATGGTACAAGACAAAACACCACATGTCAAAAAGCCATTTTTAAAAATAATTAATTTCCCAGTGGCGGAGTCGATCCGGTGACTCCTAGCCTAAAGGCGGAGACACTAACGACTCCGCCACAGGGAACTTTAATTTAATTGAATTATTATTTTAACTTAAACCCTATTCTTTTTTTTTGATACCGGGACGCTTCAACTTGCGTGTTTCATCGCGCACGGTTCAGTGCCGGATTTCGTCGCAATCGGACTTAAAAATGTTAAAGTTCAAAATATCGATTTAAAAATTTCATGGTCAAGGGTTTCTAAAAATATTAATTCACAGGGCATTCAGATCCAATGGGTAAATTATAATGAGTAATTGATCTTGGCAGACTTACTAGAGGAATATCTTTAATATTGCTAGCAATAGCATTTTCTTGAGTTGAAGTAATCAAACCTCTATTGCGCAAAAATCTAAGAATTAGAACCCAACATAGAATAATCAGAGGTATTAATAATGAATAAATCAATAAAAATAAAAGAATATCATAAGCTATAAACTTATTAGACACCTTAAAATTGTCATCAACATTTAAAGCGAAAGATAAATTATCAGAAATATTAGAGTAATTTTGCATATTAAATGTCGGAAAGATTTTAATAACCAATTATTTATACAAATTATCTAACCAAGATTGGAATCGGAAACGATAAGACGATTATAATCTATCATTAACATTTGATCAAATTCTCCTAAGATAATCATTTCAACTCCACCAGAAGGAATGGGAGAGTTAAATTCTAAACGAATACTTGTAGTACCACTTCTAAGCAACTCAAATCCACAAGAGTCGTCAAGTGTTGAAGTCAAAGGTATTACAAAAAATGTCCAGCCATTTTTGAATCGGGACATTGGAATATCGATTGACCGATCAGAGTTAGCCATCCCCAATGCTTCGTACATGTCAACGAAAGCTCGAACAAAAATATCTTTTTCAAATTTTAGTTTATAAGCAACCATGGGATAAATATGCCCACCGGTATTGTTGTGTATGGGCGTCAGCCCTTAAAGTGTTTAGTATAAAAGCCCAGCCAATAGTTAGTTCTCGGTCTCAGTTTTAGTTCTTCTTCCTACCCCAACCTTCGCCTGCTTTGTATTTCTTTGTGCAATAAACGTTTCTGTTAGCTTCTCTACGTAAGCGGGGTCGTAACAGATTTGGCGCGGTCGTGTTCAAAAAGAACCTGGTCTCGACAACTTCAGTGAGTGCTCGTCAACGTAAGCTGTGTGCAGTTCAGAAAAAGAAAAATCTGTGTGGACAATTGTAGTGTAGTAAAACCAAAAAGGTTAGTGAAATTGTAGTGTAAAGTGTAGTGATAAAAAGTTTATTTTTTAGTGAGTGCAAAATGGATGCAAAAACAGTGGAGAAATTGTTGAAGGCTCAGCAAGAGCACTTTGAGAAAATGTTAGTGAGGCTCTTGAAGCCGAGTGAGTGGAACGACACCGAATTGTACAGCAAATTAGTTGGGATGATTGGTGAGTTCGTTTTTGATTTGACGAGTGGTATGACCTTTGAGTCATGGTTGGGCAGGCATCGGTCCTATTTTGAGGTGGAGGGTAAAACCCTGCTAGAATCCTCTAAAGTGAGATTGTTGTTGAGTAAATTGGGGCCAGAAGAGTATGCCCAAATTGAAAGGAAGATGCTGCCAACCAAGTTGAGTGAGATGAAGTTTGACGAACTGTGTAGTGA